TCCTTGGCCCCCTTCTCATTTCTCTTCTGCCCTGGTCTACCACTGGGGATAAAAAGGACGGAGAATATGGTACTCTTCGTTGGCACCAGCATGACCCTGAAAGCTGAGTGATACCAAGCTCCTTAAGGTCCTTTTCCAGTGTCGAGTATCCATTTGGTCCCTCTGGATGAAGATGGTGAAGGCAGAACTGGGATGTGTTTCCTGCGGGACCTCAGGGCAGGAGACAGCCTTAGTGCTGATAGTCTTCTGATGCTTGCAGCCGAGCTGATGTCATCCATTCAGCCAGTACCACCCACATCAGGTGCTTTCCCTTCCTGACCTGGTCACCAGTGGGAATGCCACAGGCGTTGGGACCAGATGGCAGAGCTGGGCTGGGAGGTGGGCTCAGCCACCTCCCATCAGCGGTCCTCCATCTAGTTCTGCTGTTTGGTGACAGTCACTAGCTGCATCTGATGCTCAGATGGAAATTAGTATCGGGTCCCTCAGCAGCACCACATTTCAAATACTATCAGTCATGTGGGCCTAGTGATTTCCATATTGAATGACACGGTAGACTGTTCCCATTGTCACTGAGTCCCATGGGACCCTGCTGATCCGGGGACCTGAACACAGATGTGCTGCCTGCGCTGGGGATGCTCATGGTGGAAGTGAACAAATGGTGTCCCCGTCACTGTACCCTGCTGGGATGCATGCCATCACGTTTCTTTGGGAAGCAGACTCAATGCCAGGCCCAGCTGTCCTGACTGTGGGTCTGCTACTGGCTTCTCAAGTGACCCAGTGATTTGCTTTCCCAAAACCTCAACTCCTTCATGGGCAAAACAACGCCATGTCCTTCCAACCTCAAGGGTACTGATGCAAGAATCAACAAGCAAACGACCAGAAGTGTCCTGAAATGTGGGGAACCAGAACAGAGGGACAGCAGGATGAGGGGGAACAGCCCGAGTCTGGAATCAGGGAAGCCACACTCAGTTAGCAGAGGAAGCTTGAGAATGAGGCTGAGGTTTCACTCTCTGCAGCCCTTCTTTGTAGAGGGGAAGGTGGAGGCACATGGTTGGCACTCTGAAAACTTGTGAAGTGTATAGAAAAGGATAGCAGAGACTACTGGGGAGGGTCGTGGGCCAGCGCTCCTCCAGCCCCCACCTCTTACGTGGGCCAGACAGGCCATCTTATCTATACATTGTCCCTATTTTTGTCCCCATCAGAAGACTGTGGCAGGTAGAGCTCAGGAAGAGAGTATGGCAAAGGTTCAGCCTAACAAGGGCACCCTCCATTGTGGATGAGCAGGCCAAATGTTGCATCGTGCCTCACTTCCCAGTATCCCCCTGCCCCCGCTGTTTCACATGGGTTCCCATGAGTGTTCTTTACAATATGGACCTTCAGAATCCCTCCACCTTCCCCTCTGCAGAGAAGGGCAAGGCCTGATCCCAGCTCCTCACTGTGCTGAGCTCAGACACCCACATGGAGTTCTACAAGGGTCTGTGACTGTGCTGTATTCCAGGGGAGCCTTGACTGAGCCAGGAGATGTCAAGTGAATACTGGGGAAGCTACAAGGGATCCAAAACAGGGACAGGTCACTGGCCAACAGGCCCACAGCAAGCCACCACTACTGCTAACTAGATGGAAGTTCCCCGGGCACAGAAGCCATGCATCTCAGCCTCATCCCAAGTGTCCAGTGCCTGTGGTGTGGGAATCAGTCACTTTCAGGATCCCTGGTCTAACAGATCTGTGCAGTCAGATACCTGGTGGGCAGGCCAGACTGACTGCCTAGATGCTCACGTGTGTGTACTTGAGCAAGGTTAACACCATATTTGCCCTTGAAGGGGTCACAATCGCTGAAGGAGGCCTGAAGTCACCCGTGACAATCTAATAGTCTCACAAGCCCAAGCTCACCTGTGTGTCGTTTTACGACTTTCTCCCCTACATGCCACAGGAACATGTACAAAGCCACCTTGTTCCCCAGCTGCAGGCCCTGGCCTCTGAGGCAGTCCCAGTGCTGGCCTTGAGAGCTGGCTTCTGTCCTGACCCTGCCTGGATCAGGCACTTCCATCTTGCACAGGGTGAAAAGCTGCTGGGCCCCGTGCCAGTCCCCAGGGCCCCTTCCCAGGCTGTCCATTTTTATCAGACCCTCCTGATGGCAGGACTACAAAATCTCTCCTGGAAAGGCCTGCCGGTCCCTGGACTGACCTTGTCCAGATGTGTTTGATCAGCTGTCCCTGGCCTGCGCTGGGGGAACCCGGTGCAAGAAGAGCGGCAAGGCGTGCTGTTTGATCAGAGCAGCTGGGGAGCTCAGGCTAGCTTGCTCAGCCTTCTGCTAATCTCATCTCAGAGGACAAAGAAAGGAGGATGTTCCCGCAGACTCTCCCACAGGTATCTATGGGAGCATCCTTGCCAGAGATGTGAAGGAGCGCGGGGAGGGCGGGGGAGAACAAGCAGAGTACTGGGTCCCCTTTGTTCCTAAGCTCCCCACATTTCCAGCGAAACAGTTTGTCAGGTTTGGTCCCTTCCTCGAGGCTCAGAATCCAACAGGGATGGAGCCGCATAAGAACTGCGGCAAAATCTAACTTCTGCTGCCAGGGGTTTCCGTTGTGTCGCAGCTGGAGAGGAAAGCTGGGCAAGCCTCACCTCCCTCTGTGGGACTCCAGCAACACTCGCCCCAGGCCAGGGCCGCTCTCTGTCCTGCCAAACTGCAGATGTGCTATAGGCAGGGAGGATCGGATGGAATTACAGTACACACCACCCGTGGGAAACAGCTCCCGCAGGGCATGGGGTACTTGCTCAACACAGTGTGCCTGGGCTGAGTCCCATTCCCAGTGGCAAGCAACGCCTAAGCATACAGTGACTCCACTGTCCATGATCAGTTCTGCTGTCACACATGCAATAGGTGATGTGGGACCTGTGTTCTGACAGCACTTAGCAAGGGGGCGAGAAGAGAAAAGGGAGGCATGGTGTCTGCACATGCTGGATGCCTCTTCTTAGGGAATCCTTGAGTTCTAGGCTCACCCAAGTCATGGTGGTGATGATACCCCCCCACAATACTTCATTCTCCCCTCCCCCGATTTTCTCTTTGTGTTTTGAGACACGGTCTCACAATGTAGCTAGCTGGCCTCGAACTCAGAGATGCTCCTGAATGGGGTTATGGAGTGTGCTACCTTGCCCAGAATTTTTTATTTTTTATTTTGAGGGAAGGGTCTTGCCAAGCAGTCAAGCGTGACTTGACTTGCTCTGTGGCTCAGGCAGGCTTTGAACTTACAATCACCTGTTTCTTCCTGGGGAAAGCAGGGATTCTAAGGCTTGTGTCATTTCATTAGGCGGCTTTCTTTTTTTCACCCAAAGATATTCATGATCATAGGCTGAGAGAGAGAGACAACAAACGGTAGACTGAAGATGCAGGAGGGCAGCTGGGAGCTTGGCCACGTTCACCAGACTTGGTCCGGTGCCTTGACTCTGGTGTGATCCTTCGGCTGTGCTGCAGCTGATTCCAGAAGCCCGTTTGTCCCAGGGAGGCTCTGGGCTCACTGCAGTGCAGTCTAGAGGCCCTTGTTCTCGGCCTCCCCTGGGATACACAGGGCTCTGCTCCTCTCTAGTCCTTCTTGGCCCTCGCTCGTTCCCCTTGAGCCTGTCACAGACAGCAGCAACTATCCAGAAGCCTCTGCACTCAGGTACTTTATGTTAATGACTGTTCTGTCACTCTAGGAAAGGCTTGTCCAAGGTCGTCATCTTACTAAGAGGGTGGGGGCTCCCACGCCCATCCCCTCCCTCTGTGTTGTGCTGCCTCTCCCAACCAGCTCCCCTCATCTGGGCTCACCAGGGATTCCCTCAGCCCATTTCCTACCTCTGCTCACACCATCCCAGACCCTATATTCCCCTTCCTCCAGGTCCCAAGGACATGCTTCAATTAGATCTCACAGCAGTACAGACACTCAAGACTACTGGTCCAGATGAGACCTGGACAGCTTTAGTCTCTCTGTGAAAACTTCACGTGGACAGTAGGGTGTCCGTGAGTTCTGAAAACATCCACCTTTGTGCCCCAAGATCACCCCAGTAGTGAGCACAGAGCCCCCCGCGGGGGCCCCCCCCCCCCCCCGCTTCCCAGTCTTGGAGCTGAGTTCAGCTTGAAGATGCAGCAGGCTTCTGTTGGGAGCTGTGAACCTCCCAGATCCTGAATTTCTTGTAAACAATGTGTTATGCTTGCAACTGCTTTGAGCACAAGACGCTTAGGAGTTCCTGATGGCAGGGGAGTGGTTTCTGGTGGGTTTAATTTGGCTGGGGCGTGGCTATCAGTTAAGGATCCTTATATAAGCTGCCCCTGGACACAATAAAGGGGGCATTCCTGTTTCAAGGATGATCCGTGTTGCTGTGAGTCTTTGTGTGTTTAAATCTCCAGCCCCTTGCCCGGTTCACGAACTGTATGGTAGGGCAGATGGGCGTGGTGCGCTATGGGCTTCCTCTCAACTCCGGTCCTCCCAGCACCGCCTCAGTCCTTCATCAGCTGACGGCAATGTGACATCTTTGTTTCTGCTCATCTATCGCACACCTGGCACGTTAGGAGCCAGAAATCAACACATAAATGAAAAGTGGTGGATGTCATAAGGGTCTCAAGGGATTCAGGAGGGGGGAGACAGAGCGGGAAGAAAAGATTCTCCTCATATCAGAGAACACAGGAGGCTGGCCTGCATGTAAACCTTCCACACTAAACTCAGTAAATCCGGATTTTATAGTCACCATTCCCCTTCTTATTATTGGAGCCCAGGAAGGAGCTGAGCAGGAACCCCCTCCCTCCGCCCCTCCAGAATCCTCAGGTGTCCCCTAGATTCCATGCTCTGAAATGTGCTCCTTTTGAAAGAGAAATTAGAATGAAATTGCGTGATGGGAGTTATCCCCAGGCCACAAACGTGGCCTGAAAGGTGCACAATGGTCCTGGGACACCAAGCCCTTTGCCCAGAACCAACAAGCAAAAGGGTCCACAACACCAGTCTCCTGAAATAACGTACCACAACTGCTTCCAGAGTACAGACTTTATTTGTAAGCACAGTGCATGTTGAGTGGAGAGGCTTGCAGTCCAGTTTACACATCTCACGGGCTGGTTGTCCTGGTCATGGGTGGCTTTGCTCAGGGAAACCATGACCATTGTCACAACTTGGAGGCCATGTAAACTAGCCCAAAGAACGATTTCCTCAACATAGTCCCCAAAGAATGCACTGCTCTCTTCCTTCATAGGCCCAGTTAGACTGGAATAAGTTTGAGTTTCTTTCTGAGTTTTTAGCATAAGTCCTCAGTGCCCCCCAAAGTTTCCATAGCAACAAAACTATTAACCTGCCTCTGACTCCCTTGGCCCCATGTCTTTCACTTTTCTTCCAGGCTCCCAAGTATCTGATGGGACATACAGGGTGCTGCAGAACAAGGCTAGGCTGGGAGAGGTTACTGGAGCAAACCAGTGTCATTACCACCACTGGCTAACTTTCTAGCTCCACAAGAAATACTTCTGTCCCCTAGAAGCACTTGCCTGTTCTAAGTGAGGCTGTCAGTATCTCCATCTTTTGTCAGTACAGATTCTCAGGCACATGAGATTTAAAGGCACGCCATTCCATCCCCAAGAGAATAGAGATCCTTTCCCCTTATTTGGTATGTCTGTTTCTCATTTCATTCCTCAGCCCTGACCATTGGAACTCAGACTCTAGGGACAAGGCTGAGGCATCACCCCTGTGATCAGCAGGAGCCAGAGGCTTCCTTGGACTGGGCAGCACAGCACACAGGCCTAGAGCTTAGGCCACAGACTTGGGTACTGACGGAACTCAGAGCTTTTCCAATAAAGAGCTTTGGAGACAGAAGAGTCAGTTTATAAAATAGTTGAGAAAGACCTCTGTCTGTTGCACTGGCCAAAATGCTCACAGTGGTCTCTGCTCCTCAGTCACCTGCTTGCTGTCCATGCACTGGTGACGGACCAACTAGACTTCAGCTTGGTATCTATCTGCCTTCCCTCTTCAGTGGCTGAATCAGGAGCCCTGGGGAGGGCTGGTGCTCCCCATGGCTCAAATATATAAATTCCAAAGAACCCGGAGACTCCTCTGGCTGCTGCCCAAGGGCCAGGCAGACATATTCATGGGGAGGAGGCAAATGGAACCACACTTCCATTGTAAAAGCAATGTAGACAAAGAGGCCCATTAACAATGCCCTCTGCGGTAGTTCAGGTCTCTGGGGCAGCAGTGGCAGACTTTCCCCAGGCTTCTTCGGAGTCACTATAAAAAGTCAGGCAGCTGAAGCAGAGGCCACCAGTCACCAGAACAGAACTCGCTGATAGGTGAGATCCAGCGCTGTGGTGCTCCCAGTGTGTGCACCAGAGCTGTGCACCCAAGGATGGGCGGCAAGCCTGCCTGCCCTACGGCTCTCTGCGGCAGACACATCTGGTGACTGAAGGGAGCGCGTGCCCGAGCACCACCTGGGTCCCCAGGAAACCCGAGATTGGCTTTTTCAGACTGGGAAGGGCCTGGCACTCAGGTCTCTAACTTCTGGCTCTTTGTATTCAGGCTGATCTCCCCTCATAGGCTCTCAGGGATGTATTATTTTGAACTGTTGTTCCTGACAGAGCCTGGAAGCATGTGCCATTCCACTGTCTTTCAGTGGGTTACTGATGTGGAGGGACCAAGGGACCGGCACACCACTTACAGATCAAGAGCTCCCCTGGTCGGTTGCCATAGGTCTGAAAGCCAGCAGGCCAGGGCCGCAGTATGGGAACACTGAGCTTTCAGGGAGGTGAAGTCTTGATGTTTGAGCACCATCTTCTGGTCAGTGTTTGGTTTCCGAGGCTGAATGGCTTTGAAAACATTTTCTTTAGAAGGGAAAAGATTCCTTAGCAGATAAATTCAAGCAACCTGCATATACAAGGAGGGTGGGCTTGACTGGGACAGGCTGGCCAGAGCTGGAATCCAGCTTGGAAACTTACCTGGGCTGCCTGTGCCTAGTGTAGGGGCAGCTCTTGAAACACTGACTGCTGTAGGTTAAATCGCTACCCCCGTCCTCCACAGTGAGCCAGGTGCAGGCATGGTGGCAATGCACCTGCACCATAACAAGACTTGACCCTCATCTCTGCACATGTGTGAGTTGCACTTGTACGGGCTGATCTCTGATAGCAGGTGGCTTATAGGCAAGTGACCAAATCAGGGCATTCGCCTCTGCAGGGAGTCAAGCCACACTAGGAGGCAGGGAGTCCTGCCTGATGAGCAAAAACTGTGCTAGCCCCACTTCTATCTTTGGGTTCTAGGAAAGGAAGATAAACGCAAACCTTCTCTGTAAGCAGCAGGAACCAACATCCATCTAATTGCACTTCCAACCGTATCCGCCAGCCATCAATTACCAGATTGTATTTCAGGATCTAAAGATAAAGGCTCCGTGATGCTCAGACTTGAATGGAGCACCGATCTGCAGTGAACATGCAGTCAGGGGGAGCCCAGAGAGCAGGCCATGCACCAGGCAGGTGGGCCAGTGGCAGAGACAGAGGCCACCTGGGATACTTCTCATCCACCACAGGCAGACACAGGTCTGCCCCCAGGGGCTGGGTCATTTTATCACATGCTCCAGAGGAAGCCAGCAAGAGGTCTCCAGGCTGAGGAAAGGTTTCAGCCTTGATTACTGGAAGGCATGGAAGGCCCGAGATCACAGGGTCGCTCTCCATAAGGAATGCAACAAAGAACATCCAGAAAAGCAGGTGCAGCTGGATGGCCTCACATGAAGGCGCCTCCCGCAGCAATGCTCCAAAGCTTTGTTTTGGGAAGGTCAGAACTGGAGGGATCCGGAATGGCAAAGAGAGCTTCCTGTGTTGTTAACATCGGCACCTGCTTTACAGCCAAGCTCTAGGGGCGCCTGAGCCGAGGAGAGGATGGGGAGAGTGGGAAGGGCAAGCCGAGCAGACGTCTCTGGAGGTTGTTGGTGCTTTACTGCAGAGGCACTGGCGGTGTCTGCAAGCCCTCTGTGGGCTCGGGCTCAGGTAACTCCCCTGCTCTTGAGGCTACCCAGCACGCTGTATCTCCTAGGCCACCTTGGCCACCAATTCCCATCCACTACTCCTTCAGACTCTCATTTCAGAAGCCAGACTTCCCTGGGGGCTAGGATGGCTCTAGGCCTGAGCTGCAGCCTGGAGGATTGAGGCTGTCTGCCACAAAGGCGGTAGTGCTGGCGTCAGAGTGGATGGCTCAGACACTGGGTCCTAGGACAATGACAAAGCCTCTGATTTCCAAGTGAGAGCACCATGGTGGAGTTGCGTCGAACAGCTCACCACTTGGGACAGCAGCTAGAGCAGAGGCAGGCCGGCTGTGAGCTTCCTCTGCGGTCCAGTCCAGTCCCCCTCTACTGGAGGAGTAGGTACTCACTTGGCCTCACCACAGATCAGGGTGACAGTACCATCCAGCAGATCCTCCACTGTCACTGCCACAAGCTCAGAGCTGCTCTGAGAGGTCTGTGAATCTGGCAAGGTCACAAACACCTGTGAGCCAGCAAGTTGCGTCTCCTCTAACGTGATCACCTGCTCGGCTGGGGCCGCTGGCTCTGGAGCTTGGATCACCTGAAAGGAAAGACAGGAAGGCTGATCTGGGCAGTGTCCACAGTGAGCTCCCCAGAATTTACATGGCTCCCGTCTCACGCCGTAATGATGATATTTATGTTTTCACCTGAGGAGAGCAATTACTTACACCTAATGGGAAGAGGGAAGTTTCACACACCAGCGATGCAAAAGAGAGGCAGGCAGACAATTTAAATAACTCTGCGCACTAAATTGCTATAATTTTGCTCAGTACGCCACCTCGGGGTGCATGGACTCTGTGATTACACCCCAGCGAACACTGGCGCAGCAGCCTGCACTGGCTTCTCCTGCCTCAGGAATGGCATGCAGAGTAAGTGCCGTGCAAGGGCTCTGAGGAAACAGGAGCGTTTTACCAAGAGCTTGGGCCCCTCTGAGGCTGAATGCCTTCTTGGCGAGAAAGTAGCTCAAATATGGCTGCTCCAACTCTCTTCAGTCACTTGGCCCAGTGGCTGGTGGGGCAGGCATAGGCTCCTGTCCCCTCCACAGGCTACAGCTGCCCCTGAAAACCTGCACACTCTGCTAACAAAGGCCTTCCCAGCTCTTCTGGGGTTTCTGCTGCACCTCCAAGCTGATATTTCCGACAGTTTGATGCCTTGATATTTCTAAGGCAGTGTGTCCCAAAGGGCATAGCCACCTGGCTCTGGAGGACCAGTCAGGGCTGGAGAGTGGGCACAGGAGAGGAAGGTAGACTCAGTTGTGTGGCAGGGTTGTGGGGTAACTGTGGTGGCCAGTCACCAGGTGTCTGGTTCAGTAGTACTGCTGTAAAGTAAACGGCCTGCCTTTCTTTCAGGAGAGGAGTCCTCTCCCACCTGCAGGACACCTCGTCTAGAAGCCTTGTTTCTAGGCAAGACAGAGGCACAGTAGCTCAAGGTGAGATGACAACAGAAACCTCACCTGGAATCCTGCTCTGCTCTCCAGAGGCTGCAAAACAAGACTGGCTTACACCTGCACCGTGTGACAGCTGGACAGAGACACCTCCATCAGTATACAGTCCCTACCCCAACTTCTCTAGGAACCACTGACAGCCACCAGAAGTCAGTTTCTTTTCCTTTCTGCCGCCTCTGGAGAAGATGGGCGAGCAGAAAGCAGCAGGGAAAGAGGCTGGCCAAGCTTAGCCTTCTCACCATGTGAGTGAAGGCACGGGCTTACACAAATGCGTATTGTACTGTATCCAGCCAGGCCTACCCACGGGCCTTGCCCGCAGAACACAGCAGTCTTCTCCAGGGTTTCCTGACAGTCCTCCAGATCCTGCAGTGCCTTTCAGAAGGTGGCGAATGTGCGAGCTGGAAGGAGAGACTGCTGTTTCCACCTTGGCAAATTCCTGTTCCAGGCTCCCTCCAGCTAGGGGCCACCACAGACTAGAATTTCTTGTTGTCTGATAGGCAGTTCAGAGATTCTAAGATCAGGAGGGCATTGTGTAAGGACCTGAGAGAGCCCCACAGAGTGGGACGGGATACTGAGAGAGTGTCCTAGAGGAGCCCTCAGAACTCTGTTCACATCCAATGACCCCAGTCTCACCTGCACCATCTGAGAGCTGGTCGCCTGGGTCTCAGTGCCCACTACCTTCGGGTGCTCAGACTCCAAGTGGCCATCAAGCTGGGCCTGGGAAGTGAAGAGCTCACCACAGAGCTCACAGGGGAAGGTGTTTTCTGACTGCTTGAAGTGCTCTGTGGAGACATGGTGCTGCAGTGCTCCAGGAAAGCGGAAAGTGGCCGCACAGTACAAGCACCGGAATGGCTGCGACCCTGGAGGAGGAGGCAGCAGACATTATCTGGCTGCGAATAATGGCTCAGAGCAGGGGAGGAAGAGGGAGGCACAGTGAGGATGGGGGAGTAGAGACAGGGCTCACGGGACCTGAAGCTCATACACCTTCCTTACGAAACTGCACAAAGAGCAGGCTACAGTGCCATTTGCAGTGGACTCTGGCCAAGTTGCCTCTGCTGACGCCCACTATTCACTCAATAGCAGACGGCCTGCCAATGGGACGGCATTTCTTCAATCTAAGAAGCACTGTTTCCTGTGCTGGGAACTGAACGCGCAGTCTTCAAGTGCTAGGCAAGAAGCCTAGCGCTGAGCTCAGCCTCAGGAAGCACATCTTGAGACTTCTGAATGGGATGGATGGCACCTGACCACTAGACCGCAACTGTGCATGCTGGAGCTGAGTCTGTGGCTTAGGGGAACACGTCTAAACAGGATGGGGCACACTTTTACCTCTCAAGGATCCAGTGGTCTAAGGAGGAGAAGGCAAATGAAGTACTGCCTACATTCCAAGTCTGGGAACCAAAAGCAGCCCCATTTTTTTTTTTTAAGATTTATTTATTTATTAAGCATACAATGTACAGCTGGCAAGGAAGGCACCAGGTCTCATTACAGATGGTTGTGAGCCACCATGTGGGTGCTGGGAATTGAACTCAGGACCTCTGGAAGAGCAGCCAGTGCTCTTACCCTCTGAGCCATCTCTCCAGCCCATCAGCCCAATTCTATAAGGTATTCAGGGGACCAAACCAATGGCTTCCCGTCCTTTGATGGAACCCTATCCTTGTGCCTTGTATCAATGCTCTGATGTCAGAGTAACACTGGAAAAGGGACCAAAGGCTACTACTACTCTATAATGCTCAAGTCTTCCTTTATTCTTATGCTTTCCTTTTTATGTATGTACTTGAGTAAGTGACGTGACAAAAATTGGTAGCAATTAAGACTAAATACTGCCGGGTGGTGGTGGCACACACCTTTAATCCTAGCACTCAGAGGGAGGCAGATCTCTGTGACTTTGAGGCCAGTCTGGTCTACAAAGCAAGTTCCAGGACAGCCAGAGTTGTCTGTTATACAGAGAAACCTTGTCTTGGATTAAAACAATAACAAAAACAAAAAAAGGAAAAACGACTTTGAATAGCCTACAAATTCTAATAATTAAAAAAAGCACAGCTTTGCTGGCAGCACTATTCCTTCCTGACGTTTCTGTAAAAATGGTTCAACTTATATTTAATGAAATATAGCACCAGTGACAGTCAAGGCTCTCACACAGGGCAGCTTATCGGGGCCAGGCCTGAAGCCTTCCTGGTTTCATATGAGGTTGGTACTGACGTGCCATCTTCCAGATGAAATGCAGGCACAAGTCAGTAAAAAGACAGGCTGGCTCTAGCGCTGTGAATGATGTTGAGCTCACCTCAGGGACATGCAGAAGGGTCACTGACCTGAATGCTGGCACTTGATGTGAACCTGCAGCAGGGCTGGTGTGGGGAAGAGCTCCTTACACTGGTCACACTCGTGGAACTTCAGATCTGTGAGTGTGAAAGGAAAGAAGTGGTGGAAAGGACAAAGGAGAGCAGGGCTGAGTGGGGCGAGGACCCACGTTCCATATAGCGTCTGCCAACTATTAGGAACCTGTGCCTGTAGAGAGCTGGGTAACCTACTGGTAAAGAGCACTCATCTGCTCCAGATGGATGCAAAGGGGTTGCGAGAATTAAATGACAAAATATACAGAGTGCTTGGCTGGTGCCCTGCGCATAGGAAACGCTCTGTAACTGACAGCCGCTGTGATTATCCCCAAATGTACCTGCAAGGAAGGTATTAATAACTTCCATTCTGAAGAGAAGAAAACAGACTCAGAAAAGAGATGTCACCTGCCAAGGTCATGCAGCTGCTAAGAGCTAGAGCCAAGACTCCCACCTGGACCCATCTGCCATGAAAGGCGACACCCTTTCCAGGAGCTGGCTGGCTCCTGAGGGCTGGGTGGAGCTTACACTGCTCTATGCTGCCGCGTACACTCCAGCTCCTGATGGATAGGTGTGGCCTCCTCTGGGGAGCCAGGGCAGAACAGAGGCAACCATCAGTGCCTGGGCAAATGACACAGACCCTCCACCCTCAGCCGCACCAGCGTCACCTGCATGCTCCGCTTTGACGTGCTTCTTGTGTTCGATGGTGTTAGGAAAGGTCTTGTCACAGGAGCTGCACTGCAGCGATGAGAACTTGGGTGACCGATGGTTCTGGGCAGCAAATACATCTGGGTGGTGGGTTCGATTGTGGTACCAGAGACCAGACAATTGCTGCAAGGTATTTGGCAAATGTTAGACCCTAGAAAGTTCCAGCAATGACAGAAAGTTCGGACACAAGCTCATGGATCTAGAATCATGCCCTTGGAGACTGATGTTAGTGGAGAGGCCACTATAGGCAGAGCTCTGTAGACCCTACAGTAAGCCCTCACTCATACAAGCTTATGTGGGATGTAAGGATCTTCCCACTAAGGCCAACTGACACACAGTATATATATATATATATATATACACACAGTCTGTAAAAAAATGTGCTCAGATGCCAAAGAAAGAAAAAAACATGGGTATAGACATGGTGTGGGAAGTCCTTCTGTATATGTAGCATGAGGGCCGGCTTGTTGGGGTATCTGTCCCGCCCGGTACTCCACAGCCAGCAAACCCCAAAGAAAATCACATATAAGACTCCATAAGATTATAAACTGATTGGCCCAATAGGTCAGGCTTATTATTAGTCCTTGTAACTTATATTAATCCATTATCATTATCTATGTTAGCCATAATGGCTCAGTACCTTTTCCAGCTGGGCAGCTTACATGTTTCCTCTCTAGTGGTCTGCGCAGGAGTGGCTAAGGGAGTTTCCTCCTCCCTAGCCTTATCCTATTTTCATTGCCCCGCCTCTATTTCCTGTCTGGTTGACCCATCTATACATCCTGTCTGGCCAATCAGCGTTTTATTAAAATATATGATTGACAGAATACATACAATTGTCCCGCACCATTTTTCTCTTTTTTTTTTTAAACAAAGGAAAATACCCATAGTCCATTTGTTGGGAATGTGGGCGTAGTATTTTAGGCTATTTTCTGCTGGTTGGGGGTGCTGATGATCTTATGGGGACCTAAAGAAAATTTAGAGTTTAATCAAGTCCAGACTGAAGTATCCTGTGAGTCTTGATCATCTTAGGCAGCAGTCTTGAATCTGTTCTGGATATATAACTCAGACATCTGGGCCATCTGTTTCTATTGGAGATTTTTTAGGTGGCCTCCCTTGATGGAACTTGATTTTTTTTAATTTAGAATGAATCCATAGCCTCTCATTTTCTGTGGAAACAAAAGCAAAATCTCTTCTCCAAAGTAACAAACCTTTTGACTTCAGTTTTGAAGCCAAGGTATTTTCAAAATACCTATCTTGAGTTAGTTCAGCAGTATTTATAAACAACAGTCCTTTAGCAGCTGTTGCTCCTTCCTCAGCATTTAAACAATTTAAAGAGAGCATAATAACATACAGTATCAAGATTCTCTGTGCATTTTTCATCTTTGTGTGGCTTTATTTTAACCTCTATTTTTTTTATTTTTACTTTTATTTTTTGACATAGGTTTTTTGTATATCTTTGTCCTGGAATAACTCTGTAGACCAGGCTGTCCTTGAACTCACAGAGATCCTTTTGTCTCTGCCTCCCCAGTACTGGGCTCAAAGGTGTTTGCTATCATACTTTGAACTTATAGAGATCCACGTATCTTTGTTTTTCCAGTGCTAGGATTAAAGGTGTGTGCTACCACATCTTGAACTCACAGAGGTCAATCTCTACCTCTGTCCCTTGAAGTCATAGAGGTCAATATGCCTCTGCCTCCCAGGCATTGGGATTAAAGGTGTGTTCTACCACACCCAACTACTCTCTTTCTTCCCTTTTTACCCTAAGAACTTTAACCTTTAACCTGTATGTATTTTTAACATACTGTAAACTCTTTAGAGGTTTTCTTTATCTTTGAACCTCTCTTTATTGTATCTCTCTCTCTTTTTTGAGTACATGAGTCTTTAAGGAGAAGATTAAAGCCGTGGCTTTGACAGCTAGATCCAGCCCATTTATTAACTTTTCAGCCTCATGGCTGAGATACCAGCCAGAGCTGTGTTCACTGCCACAACTCTATGGCGTTTCAAGGTCCTTGCTAGCAAACAAGCTGCAGCATTCTGCTCACAGACCACACTCAGTCGGACTGCCTGCCTGAAAGAGTCAGCGATTGCCTTGGCAGGACGGCCCAGAAAGCCGTAGCGCAGCTTTTTTCCTGCTACGGCTGAAAACCGAAAAGCATGCGTTCAGCTTTTCATCAACAACATTTAAGTGTTTCGTGGCAGGACCTCTTAATGAGCTGTAGGCTTTTGCAGCTAAAGCTGAGTCAGGAAGCCTCTCTTAGATGAGAGTGCTTGCTTGCCTCTAGCAAGCAGAGCAGACCCGAGAAATTGTTGCTACCAAGAAACCACACATAATGTTGTCATTTTGTTCTAGAATTACTTGTCAAGCTGTCTCAGGCTTTATGTGGATACAGTTGCCCCACGTTGGGCGCCATTTGTAGCATGAGGGCCGGCTTGTTGGGGTATCTGTCCCGCCTGGTACTCCACAGCCAACAAACCCCAAAGAAAATCACATATAAGACTCCATAAGATTATAAACTGATTGGCCCAATAGGTCAGGCTTATTATTAGTCCTTGTAACTTAATCCATTATCATTATCTATGTTAGCCATAATGGCTCAGTACCTTTTCCAGCTGGGCAGCTTACATGTTTCCTCTCTAGTGGTCTGCGCAGGAGTGGCTAAGGGAGTTTTCTCCTCCCTAGCCTTATCCTATTCTCATTGCCCCTCCTCTATTTCCTGTCTGGTTGACCCACCTATACATCCTGTCTGGTCAATCAGCGTTTTATTAAAATACATGATTGACAGAATACATACAATTGTCCCGCACCATGTATATGTGTTGCTTTTATTGGTTAATGAATAAAGAAGCTGCTTTTGGCCAATGGCTTAACTAATAGACCAAACAGTGATTCAATTAATACAGTTTCTGTGTGGTTATTTTGGGGCTGAGCAGCCGCGAGCAAACAAGCAGACTCCTACTACATAGACAATCATAGAAAAATAAGTAAGTAGTTTGAAAATAATAAAGTCACAGAAAGTAAAGTAATATAAAAGGAAAAAGTGATGTAAAGATGGAAAATAGACAGGGTGTCTGAATCCTGTATGGTGTTTTGTTAACTTTAAATTTTTAAATGCTAATGAACAAAAAACAATAGCTGCTGAGAGACATTGGATTACGGAAACCACTAAATTAAAGCAACCTTTGTAATTTAAGAATGGCTTAGCTTCAGAATAGAAGTCAGAAAATGGAGAGATTGTACTTTTGTTTCCACAGGAAACAAAAAGCAAGAAATTTACCGTGATATTTTATTTGTGTTTTAATAAATAAAGCTTGCCTGAAGATCAGAGTACAAAGCTAACCACATTTGTCAGCCTCACATGCCAGGCAGTGGTGGCTCACACCTTTAATCCCAGCAATCACACTAGTTAGCCACAGAATCCAGATGGTGGTGGTGCACACCTTTAATACTAGCACTAGAAAGAAATATAAGGCAGGATGAGACAGGAACTTGCTCTCTCTTTAGTCTGAAGGTTTTGCAGAGTTAAGAGCTCTCTAGTAGTTGGCTGCTTTGCTTCTCTGGTCTTTCAGCTTTAACCCCAACATTGGTCTCAGGGTTTTTATTATTCATGCTACAGGGATTCCTTCAAAAATCAGTAAAGATCAGATTTGATTGGGGAAGACCTCCTAAAAATTTTGGCTACAGACATAAAAGAAAAAAACCAGAAAAGACTACAAGTCAGGTGATGTATATCCTTCTGCTATGGGAATAGCTCTAAGACTGGATGAGATATGATAAATCTTGTTGGCTAGAGTCCTCATGACCTATTATTACACACCATCCTTTCCTATGGCATGGAGAGAGGTTTGGTTATACAGTGCAAACAAACTTATAAAGTTAACAGATGTCTTTTAGTTGCACAAACATAAAAAAGTCATCTTTAACTGACTTGAGCACACTGCAACTCCATTCTTGTGTTACTGCTGATATATGTTACCTTTAAAAGTTTATGTGTTTTCAAAAAAAGGGCCAGATACCAATAAAGACAAGTAGCCCAGGTGATCCAGTCTCATAAAATGCCTGTTACGATTTCCTCAAGATTCTACATCCAGATCAACATCAAGATGGACCATCTAGCAGAGATGGTCCAGCCTCACAGAGTGTTCCAGCCAAAACTTCAGATAAGCTCTACACTTTCCCATCACACAGAGACTAAACAAAAAAATAACACAGCTAGCTCTCCCAGGACTTGATCATGATCCCAATTTTCTCAGAGTCCCTTAAAGAGGTCATTGCCCCCAGATAGAAGAAGCAGTCTAGAGAACAAATGTCTACATCCCCAAGAGGTGGGGTGGGTGGTTTTGTGTCATTCCATGGTTATAGGTGTTGGTCATCCTTTAGGGGGGTTGGTTACAAGTTTTTATTGGTCATGGTCAGGAAAAACACTGAATAAAGGAGGTATCTCTTTCTGAAGAGAAAAAGAAGGGTATAGTTTAGAAATTATGGAACTAAAGAGTAGATTGTGGAGTCTACTTTTGAACAACCTTTAGTCTCAAATATTTTACATTGGTATGGATTTTTGTATATTGATACAAACTTAAGGTTATTTTTGTTATACTGTACATGTGTTTCTACTCTTGTTTAAGGTGTTATACCTATGCAGATCATTTAAAAACAAAATTTTAGCCAGGTGGTGGTGGCACATGCCTTTAATTTCAGCACTCAGAGGCAGAGAAAAGTGGATCTCTATGAGAGTTCAAGGCCAGTCTGGTCTACAAGTTCCAGGAAAGGCAAAGCTATAGAGAAACACTGTCTCGAAAAAAAAAAAAAAAAAAAAAAGAGGAAAATTTTCGTTCTTGAAAGCTATTTAGGATAGTAAAGAAAGACAGGCTAGTAGTTAGACATCTATAACAATCAAACTTACAGCTGTGTTAGGTATGTTTTCAAGGTCAAACATATATTTTAAATAGACAGATGGTCTTCAAACACTTTCAAAGACCTACAGAATACAGCATTTAAAATGTTTTAATAACAAAGCTTTTCATGGCAGTGAGACACATCTACTCCGGGAAGCAACAATTTACTTCAAATAAGGATGATGGGCATCGAAGAACCTCCAAATGGAGTTTGTTTTCTTTGTGGCAAAGTTAGCCATGGGGCAAAGAAACTGCCCTTGCCTTGACTGCTGACAGAATGCTGCCCAAACTGGACAAGCAGGACACAAAAGAAAGTGACTGCTGAACTTTGCCAAGATAAGATAGGACAGGCCTTCAAAAGTCCTGCTTCACAGAAAAGTCTGTGATATTCTAGGCCTACAGGCCAAGATGGATGTTCCAATGTTGTAGATGAACCTTGGGTGACTCTCCAAGCAGTAAGATGTGTTTGTCATTTCTACAGTTTTAGAAGTTGGTTTGCTCTGCACTTCCTGTTGATTCAGGTAATATTATATCCTTCTCCAGTCTCTAATGGAGCTGAAGATGAGACAGTTATAGTTTTCCTTGTTACCAATTTCAAAAAAGAAACTTACATAAGAGACATAAAGTTTATAAGGTTGAGAAACATAAAAGCTTAAGTTATTTATCTAAGAAAATGTTTTGAGGTATAAAAAGATTGTTTAAGGATAATTGGTGCGGGAGAATTATCTGTATTCTGTCAATCATATTTTAATAAAACGCTGATTGGCCAGGCAGGCAGTATAGGCGGGAAAGCCAGACAGGAAGTAGGGGTGGAGCAAAGAGACTGGGAGTATTCTGGAAGCAGAAGCTCTCTCTCAGCCACTCCTGCGCAGACCACCGAAGAGACAGCATGTAACCTGCCCAGCTGAAAAAGGTATGGAGCCATTATGGCTAACATAGATGAGAATAATGGGTTAATATAAGTTATAAGAGTTAACAAGAAGCCTGACCTAATGGACCAATCAGTTTATAACCTGATGTAGACTCTGTGTTATTTTCTTTGTTGCTTGCAGGCTGTTGGGGTACTGGGAGGGACAGTAACCCCAACAAGCCTGCCCCCTCATGTTACATATGGCGCCAACGTGTGGATAACAGAATCCACAGAAAGCCTGAGAAAGTTTGGGAAAGAATAGAGTAAAGTATGTTTTCTTGGTAGCAGCAATTTTCCGGTTCTGCTCTGCTTGCTAGAGGCAAGCAAATGCTCTCATCTAAGACAGGCTTCTTGACTTAGCCTTAGCTGCAAAACCTTGCAGCTCATTAAGAGGTCCTGCCACGAAACACTTAAATGCTGTTGGTGAAAAGCTGAACGCATGCTTTTCGGTTTTCAGTCGTAGCAGGAAAAAAGCTGTGCTGTTTTAAAATGCCGGCTTTCTGGGCTGTCCTGCCAGGACAATCTCTGACTCTTTCAGACAGGCAGTCTGACTGAGTGTGGTCTGTGAGCAGAATGCTGCAGCTTGCTTGCTAGCAAGGACCTTGAAATGCCATAGAGTTGTGGCAGTGAACACAGTTCTGGCTGGTATCTCAGCCATGAGACTGGAGAGCTGGGGAGTGGGCTAGATCCAGCCATCAAAGCCACGGTTTTAGGCTCATATGGTCAGAAAAAGAGAGACATATAGTAAAAGAAAGATTCAAAGTTGAAGAAAACCTCTAAATTGTTTACAGTGTTTTAAAAATATTTGCAGGTTTAAAGTTAAAGTTCTTAAAGTTAAAAGGAAAGAAAGAGAGTAGTTGGGTGTGATGGTACACACCTTTAATCCCAATGCCTGGGAGGCAGAGGCATATTGACCTCTGAGACTTTAAGGGACAGAGGTAGTTGACCTCTGTAGCACACACCTTTAATCCCAATGCCTGGGAGGCAGAGACACGTGGATCTCTGTGAGTTCAAGGTGTGGTAGCAAACACCTTTGAGCCCAGTACTGGGGAGGCAGAGACAGAAGGATCTCTGTGAGTTCAAGGACAGCCTGGTCACAGTGTTATTCCAGGACAAAGATATACAGAGAACCTGTCTCAAAAAGTAAAAGTAATAATAAAAGAAATAGAGGTTAAAATAAAGCCACATAAAGATGGAAAATGCACAGAGAATCTTCATACTGTATGCTATTATGCTCTCTTTAAATTGTTTGATTGCTGAGGAAGGAGCAACAGCTGCTAAAAGACTTTTGTTTATAAATGCTGCAGAATTAATCCAAGATAGACATTTTGAAAATACCTTGGCTTCAAAACTGAAGTCAAAAGGTATGTTACTTTGGAGAAGAGATTTTGCTTTTGTTTCCACAGAAAACGAGAGACTCTGGATTTATTCAGAATTAAGAATAATTACCTTTGACCAAGGGAGGCCACCTGAAAAATCTCCGATAGGAACAGATGGCCCAGATGACAGAGGTCTACATCCAGAACTGATCCAAGACTGCTGCCTGAGATGATCGAGACTCACAGGATACTCCAGTCATGACTTGATTATAACTCTAAATTTTCTTTAGGTCCCCTTAAGACTATCAGCGCCCCCAACCAGCAGGAAGTAGCCTGAAATACTACGCCCACATTCCCAACAAATGGATTATGGGTATTTTCCTTTGTTTAAAAAAAAAAAAAGAGGGAAATGGTGCGGGAGAATTATCTGTATTCTGTCAATCATATTTTAATAAAACGCTGATTGGCCAGGCAGGCAGTATAGGCGGGAAAGCCAGACAGGAAGTAGGGGTGGAGCAAAGAGACTGGGAGTATTCTGGAAGCAGAAGCTCTCTCTCAGCCACTCCTGCGCAGACCACCGAAGAGACAGCATGTAACCTGCCCAGCTGAAAAAGGTATGGAGCCATTATGGCTAACATAGATGAGAATAATGGGTTAATATAAGTTATAAGAGTTAACAAGAAGCCTGACCTAATGGACCAATCAGTTTATAACCTGATGTAGATTCCGTGTGATTTTCCTTGGGACTTGCTGGCTTGTTGGGGTACTGGGCAGGACAGAAACCCCAACGAGCTGGCCCTCATACTACAGATAATAATACAAATCATGACAAAAACAATGGTTTGGGTATAAAACTTTAAATTTATCAAGATAAGATGGATAATACTTCCTCCAAATATGCCAAATACAAATGGACTGGACATTGTGAATGCAATTCTTAAAGGATAATTGTTAACACTGTATTTAATTTTACTATGTTAGAGTTAAAAGCGTTCCTTTTTGTTTAGACAAAGGGGGGAAATGTTGTAGGATATTTGTACACTGTATGAAGATATATTGCTGTGATTGGTTCAATAAAGAGCTGAATGGCCAATAGCTAGGCAGGAGGTATAGGCGGGACTTCTGGACAGAGGAAGTAGAAGGAGATAACTGAGGCATGCAGGAGATGCCAACAGAACAAATCAGACATATAAGACAGAAGAAAAGTAACTAAGCCATGTGACAGAATGCAGATTAATAGAAAGAAGTTAATTGAGTTATAAGCACTAGTTAGAAAATAGTCTAAGCTAAGCACAAGCTTTCATAATTAGTAAGTCTCCATTTCATTATTTGTGAGCTGGTGGCCCAAAGAAAAATCAGACTACAATCTGCTGGGGATGTAACCCAGGGTCTCATGGACGCTAAGTGTGTGCTCACTGAGTACAGCCCATGCTTTCTCAGAGTCAAATTGTCTGTAACGTCCTGGAGACAAGCCTGGACAACATGCAGGCAACAAACGCCAATAGGGAGTAAGGCACAGCCGGGGTGTGCTCCTGGTGGCCAGGGTCACCTGATAGGGAGTAAGGCACAGCCGGGGTGTGCTCCTGGTGGTCAGGGTCACCTGATAGGGAGTAAGGCACAGCCGGGGTGTGCTCCTGGTGCCAGGGTCACCTGATAGGCCTTGTTGCAGATCCCACAGCTGAAGGGCTTCCCTCCAACATGGGTCACCATGTGCCGCTCCAGCATGGAAGGGGCGCTGAAGATCTTCCCACACGTGGGACAGGGGTGGTATTCTTTGGAGTGCACCTCATGGATGTGCTTCCGGTGATCCTGCAGCGTGGGGAAACTCATCTTGCATTTCTTGCAGTCATAAGGATCTTCTATGTCTGCTTCCAGGCAGGGCATCCACGGGAGGGAGGGGCAGAGGGAGACAATAGCACAAGCAGCAGTCAGTGACATGCCACTGCTACATACAAGCAAGATGGAAGGCTGTTCAGACTTCCTGTGGCACCAGAGTCCCAGTCAGTGTGACAACAATCTGGCTCTACTCCCTTTTGTGGAGGAGGCAGGACTCCTCCAAGCTTTTGGACTCACCACCTGTGCAGTGTCAAACTGCTCGCCACCACGACGATAAAGAACTAAACTTCATGGTGTCTCTTCACTGCGATAGACCACTGACTAAGACACTCTCATTTAGTTTTTCTGACAAGTCAAGCTGGTGGCATTACTATTCCTATTTATTCAAGTCTGGAAGGGAGAGGAGGCTTAGCAGGGCAAAGAAATGTAAGGTCTCAAGGAAAATATATGGAAGAGTCAAAGTGCGAATCTAAACTCATGTGACTTTCAGAGTATGTGCTCTCAGTCTACCTGCTGTGTTGTGTTACTATATATGCTAATTCCAGAGTACACAGTTACAGCAAAGGAAGATGAAGAAAATGACAGGGGCCAGTCACCCAACACTGTTTTATGGTGTGTGTGTGTATATCTCTCTGAGAAAGACAGGCAGCTATGGCAGCCCCAAATAACTCAATCAAACACAATGGCATGGCACTTGGGAGAGAAATGCCAGGCAGGAGAGTTCGAAGGAAATATGGTAGCATTGCCGAGCACAATGGATAATAACAAGAAAGTGTCAGGCTTGCTTCTTTAGAGAAAGCAGGAATGGAAACAGGATGAATGTGGAGAGGGGAAGGGTAGAACATGGGAGCTGGATGAGTTGATGGAATTGTTCCAGTGTCTTGTGAGCCTGACAGTGAAGACACTCTCTTCTTCCAACACAATTTGCTTTTGCCAGTCAAACACTGTGAGGTGAGCTAAAGAGACAAGAAGGCAGGCTGGACAGAGAAGCAGAAAGTATATAGAAATATGCTAAGGAGGGACTGAGGGACTGTGGGCTTTACAACACTGGGAGGAGAGGGCCCAGAATGGGGCCTGGCTCTGGCACAGTCACTGATCTGTTATGAATGTCACAGGCCTCCTCAGTGCCAAACATGGCCTGTGGTGCCTGACATTGTGACTACAATACTCACTGTGAAAGGTATGCAGGTGGATGGAGAGGCCATTGGCTTGTCGGAAGCCCTTTCCGCAGTCCCTGCAGACATATGGCTTGTCCCCAGTGTGCGTCCTCACGTGCCGGGACAGCTCGATGGATTGGGCGAACACAGCATCACAGTACTGGCATGCATACATTTTCCCTGCAAATGCACATGAACATGTGAGAACAAGCAATGAACATGGATGGCACTCCTACAAACAGAACAAACTCTAAAGCACACACCAGAGAAATGTCACTGGTAGGTGACATTACCTCAGGCAACGCTGGGTATGTCTGAGGCACCTCATCAAACGCATGTAGCTCACAAACATAACCCATCACACAGTGGGTGAGCACAACTAGATGGGGAACAAAGCTCTTGTCTCTAAGAGAACCTGTTTGTTTATCAGGTTTCTACAGAGAGGAAGAGCACACTCCACTTCCAGCCAGAGAGAGGTCCTTCTGTCCAAAAATGTGAGTTAGATCTTGCAAAACACACTGTGTTCTTGTAAAGCACAGCCTAGGTTATGGGAGACTCGTCTCACAACAGAACAAAGCAAATAATCAAATTTAGCATGAATTCCCAATACTACAAAGATGATTTCGGGATTCAGAGGGGACGAGGACCCATTGCAGTCAGCGCACAGCCCTTGATTCCTTCACTTTTCCATGTGCACGAGAATGTAACCAGAGTTTCCTCCCAGGCCAGGGAGCAGCCACTGGGGAGGGGGTTCCAGACCAGCAAGCCCAGTTCTAGACCCTACTTCAGCTGGAGCAGTAGCCTTGTTCTTATTTTTCTACTGGCCAGGCTGTGAGGAAGATTTTGCATACGCACACACACGCACACAAACACATGTGCCCACTGTGAATCCCATCTTATCATCTCTTTGATCCAAACTCTTCGGTGGCTTCTGTAGCAAGAATCTGTTACTGTCACCTTATAAGTCACTACCTGTGACTGAATCAAGTGTCTTGTGATGAGAAACTGCACCATCTTATCCAGGTGGCCTAGGGGAATTCCAGATAAGAGAGAGGACACAGAGTCCAAGGAAGAGGTAGAAAGGCTGGAGTGATGTGGCTCAGAGTCAAGGAAGAATCTAGAAGCTTCACAGGTCAGGAACTGAGTCTCCTGATAAACCTACTCCAGAGGAAACCTTGGTTTTGTCATTTGGAACCCTTCTAAAAATAATCTCTGGCTCCCTGGTGGTAATGACACGTATTATTTCAAGCTATTTCTTTTGGTAATTCACGAGGACAGAAGAGAAAACCGAAGTCCTTTCCTTGGCTATAAGAAAACCCTGCAAGCCTTGGCCTTTGACAGCCCCTCTCTGAATACTGCCTCTTAACGCAGTCCCCTCAGGATTCCAGCTCTGTGGTCCACCTGCTCATCTGCACTGAGGAGGGGTGTGGTCCTTCTTCCAGACGTTGCTCTGGCTGAGCCCATCCCTGATGGTGTGAGCAGCCCTGTCCTTCTCCATTGCTCCCCAGCCTTGGTTTCCACCATGGCAAGGACTACCCACTCCATCTCTATCACACAGTTGCTGTTTCTCTTGTCCGTTGAAATTTAAGTGCCACAGGGGCAGGGCAAGCATGTTCACAAATCATCTATGTCTGGAACAGCACTCATGAAATCCACTCACCACCAAGTGTTTCTTTTTTGTTTGTTTGGTTTTTCAAGACAAGGTTTCTCTGTATATTCCTGGTTGTTCTTGAACTCAGGGATCCACCTGCCTCTGCTTCTGGGATTAAAGGCATGAGCCACTACTGCCGGACAAACAAGAGTTCCTTGAGGGCCTTTTGTTGCCATGTACTGTTCTAAGTTCTCCTGAAAGACTAGCAATCCTGTCATAGAGCCTGTGCTCTAATGGGGCACTAGGGTGAATGAATTCTGGTGCAGACATCCCGGACATGGAAAGCATGTGGAGAAAAGTGAAAACAGGCTGAGGGCAGTTTCCACTAAGGAGACCAAAGAAGGTATGTCTAGAGGAGGGAAGAGGTGCAGAGACCTCTGAAGGGAGGGGCCCCAAGAAAGGTGGTGACAAGCACAGAAGTTCCGGAGGAAGTGCCTGGGGGGGGGGGGGTCTAAGGCCTGGCAAGGAAACACCTGCAGGGTGTGAGTGCATGAGAGCAGAAGGCAGAGTTGTTGGCCTGGCAGGTTATCAGGACTCAGATTCCACTGCAGATAAGCCACTGCAGTGTGGAGCAGGAGTGGCCTGCCACGGTTTAATTTTAAAAGTAAAGCAGGAATGCTGAGACAGAGCGGCTGTGGGGACACTGAAACCATCCAGATAAAGTGATGGAGGCATGGCTACTCACATCTAGGAGCTCTTGAGCTCTTCACTGACTGGTCATGTCCCCACCATCCACCATCCTGGGATGTTACCTTGTGATGCCCTGATAGCGTTCCACCCATCTCTAACCCTCCCCAGCTCTCAGGCCAGCAGGTACAAGGGCACAAGGATCCCAGACTAGTCACCTGGAACTGAGCATGGCCCAGCACAGAAGTACTCCATAAGCCCTCTCTCTTGCTTCAACTCTATGGCAAGTGAAACGATCCCAGCTGCATGTAAATTCCGACCACAAAGTGCCAATACTGCTCTAGCCGACTCCTCAGAAGCCCTCCCAGAAAGCTTTCGACAGCCTGTGCACACAGGCTTACTTCTGCCTTTACTTCCCCAACTGCCCAAGGTCAAGTGGGTTTCAGCTCCCCCAGCGGCACTGTGCAGGGAAAGGAAAGGAAAGGTGTTCCCCACCTTCTGAGTGCTTCTTCTTGGTGTGGTATGCCAGGGCTGAGGCCTGTGTGAAGGTCATGAGGCAGTGCTTGCACATGAATGGGCGGTCCCCAGTGTGAAGGCGCAGATGGTTCTTTAGGGTGGAGTTGGCAGCAAACTTTGCCCCACATTCTTCACAGGAGAAAGGTTTCTCGTCGAAGTGCTCGGTCAGCTTGTGGTACTGCATGCCTAGGAAGGGGTACCAGGCCCGGACGAGACACCAGAATCAGTTAGGAACATAGCAGAAGAATGTCCAAACAAGCGGCACTCGCCAGGCTCAAGCTCACTAGCCTCAGCGCTGCCTGCCATGCCATCCACACGCTACTAGTCCACTCCCTGCTTCCCTGTCACCTTAGCCTCACTCCTGGTTGAATTTGACATAGAGATTTTTAGCCGATCTTCCCCATTCATTCCTCACACTTTCATGGTTCATTAGGTTTACCAGACATCTGGGGCAAGGCAAAATAATTCTGATCAATACTTGAGGATTTTCATATCAGTAAGTTTCTTATTAATAAGTAAATGGGATGTGGGCACCAACAAGCCAGAGGCCAAACATCTGGCTATAGTTACAATCTCCAGTGTGTAGGTGTGGTGCTAGGTGTTTAGTTCTATCGTCAAACACCCTAACAGTGCAGAAGAGTGGAATGAGGGACAGCCCTAACAGTTGGAAGAGCAATGCTTGGGGAGCCAACCCCAGTGACTATGCTCTTCTCAGAAGACCATTGTATGTCTGTGAACTGGTCCTAGTGCCAAAGGCACACACAGGGGGCCAGGCTGGAACCCAAGTTACACCATCTGCAGCCACTGTCCTCTACGACCACCTTCTGACATACCTGAGGCATGGGCAAACTCTCTTCCGCAGAGGTCACACGCCACAGGCAGCCGCTTCTTCTTCTTCTTGGGGGCGTCGGGCTCTCCACCCACGCCGTGGGTCTCCGGCTGCTGCTTCTCCAGCCCCTTCTCTGAGTCCCTGGTCCCACTGCTGTCCTTGCACTGCACCTGTTTGCTCTTGGCCACCCGGCAGCGCTTCATGTGCACCTTCAGACGACAGTAGAAATGGAAGCTCTTGTCACAGGCTTTGCAGATGAAGCTCTTCTTGGCAGAGTCCGGGGAGGCAGAAGTGTCTTTCTCCTGTTGCTCTGGCACGGACCCAGGCTCCCCCTGATCCTTTTGTTCCGTGGGCTGGCAGTCTTTGCTGGCTGCGTTGGCTGCTTTCTCCTCTTTGTCCTTGACTCCAGGGTGAAACCTATCACTCACCGTCAACCTCTCCTCTCCGTTTTCCTTGGTAAGAAACCCTGCACAGGAGAACACTCGTGGCTCTAGGGCTCGGCTTCTATTATGCTTTGCTACTTTTTAACACACTCTTAGAGAGACCGGATTATCTGGATCCTCAGGAAACTCAGAAGTAATACTGCTGTCATCTTCACTTCCCATTAAACACAAATAGCACCATGCCACACCTGCGCTCCTGGCTGTTAGGTGCCAAGAGCACATAAAAGGAGTAAATATCTTGAAGCACGGCATCCTCTTACATCAACCACTGTTTCTTCTACTCAATATAGAAAGGGCCCTGGGGTCTAGCAGGACCCAACCCCTGTTCCTTACCAACGTGTGCCAACTCCTGCATGAGGGGTTGCAGGCCATGAAAAGACTTGTGGACACCACATAGGAGGCGACAGATTGCAGGGGCTGAGACAGATTTCTCCATGTCCTTGCTCAGCACTGCTCTCAGGGCTGCTTCAGGGCTCACTGTCTCAGAGGATATGCTCAGCATCTAAATGAAACCCAGAGACAGAGTTGTGTTAACTTCAGATTTTCTCCATGCTCTTCAACAGTGGGGGTGGGAGATGGGTGCGGGGGGATGGAATTCGAAGAGACGCTGAGCTCTCCAGGTGGTTTATATTTCTCCTGGAGACACATGAAGAGCCCTGTTTTTCAAAGGACAAGAAAATTAGCAAAATGCAAACCAGGAAAACTCATATCAAGACAGACATGCAAACAGAGAGAACAAATGGAGGCACTGGTGTTTTCTGTAGGACCGTCTTCTTAGCACTTGGCACCTTAAGGAGTCTTTCTAGAACTAAGCACAGGAAGTTGGGCGGGGAATAAGAGTCTAGAAGGGAGGAGGAGGGTATAAGACTCTGGACTGAGCATGGGAAGATAGGAGTGGGGGTGGGCTATAGCATTTGGCAGCGGCTGCTTCTGTAGAGATCAGGATAATTTTTCATAATATATAATTGCCTCCATGTCTAGAAGTAATTCTGCATAGAGAGTGGCTTCATATTTTTAGACACTTAGATGTACCCTTTTAAACATCATTGAAACTCAGCGTTTTAAAGCCGGTTCAAATAGGGGCTTTAAAGAGGCCAGGAATATGATTTCAAAGCTGTCCTCTTTCAGAATGTTAGAGCTATGGGCAGAGAGCACACTGAGAAATAAAGTGAGACCATCCACAGATGGCCACATGGAACTTTCATTTTGGAAGGTATTTCCTTTATGCTCTTTTCAGGTCTATCTAAATAACCCTGATGCCCCTGAAGGCAGGCAGGAGACTAATTAGTGAGGCTAAAGCGATCAACGGCAGAGGCCTCGGCTCTGAAGTGCACAGCACTCTGGAGAGAGACGGACAGATGAGCCTTGCCTCTGGAGCGCTGTAGGAGTGTGCACCGCCTTCTTCCCATCTGAGAGGTAGACTGGCTGTCACCAGCGGGGATGGTTAGGAACTAGCCCTTCTATCTACGTGGATCAAAAGGTCACTCCAGGTACATCTGTGATTTAATTTTATGTTCCTTTATTATCCTTTCCTGTTGGAGATGTACAAGGCCAAGTTTGGACATCTCTGAGTCTTCCTCAGCCCCCATCTAGATTTTCTGGGATGCTGGTCCCATTGTGAGATGCCTCACAGAAAACGAGCAGGCACTGTTTGCTGCCTCATATGGGCAGAGCTTTTGTCTATGTTTATCTTGGCTCTTTCAGGAAACCAGAAGAAAACATACAGTAAGACCAACTTGCTTCATCTGAGACCAGCTGCTTCTGAGAACATGGTTAAAAGAGTCACCATTTCTCCAGCTACTCTGAGCTTAGGCAGTTGGAAGATGTGTTCGCTGGGGCTGTGTCACTGGCTTCCCCGCTTACTCACCAGTTTCCTACACTGGAAACAACTGTGAAGCCTGAACTCTTCTGTAAAGGGAGATGACATCACCTGCCATTTATGGCTGGAAAGCTAGAGAACAAAGGTGTTCTGTTGTGGAATATTATTTTAAATAGGCAAAGATGTGCTAAATTTTTTTATGCTGTGGATTACTTTAACTGTGTGAAGGTGTGGTGTTACATTTGTTTATGCTGCATCTGTTTAATTATGTAAAGATGTGTTGCATTTGTTTCACCTTGCCTGCCTAAGGCACCTGATTGGTCTAATAAAGAGCTGCACAGCTAACAGCTAAGCAGGAGATAGGCAGGGATGGCAGGCAGAAAGAATAAATAGGAGAAATCTAGGCAGGAGGAGAAGACAACAGGGGAGAAATGAGGGAGCTACCTGGAGTCAGACAGCCAGCAGACACAGGAAATACAGAAAGGTAAAAAGCTTTGAGGCAAAAGGTAAAGAGAAACAGGTTAAAAGAGATAACCAAAAACATGACTAAGCTAGGCCAAACATTTATAACTCTCCACATCACGATTTGGGAGCTGGTTGGTGGCCCCAAAAGAAAAGCCTGGTATGGTGTTCTGAGGAGCCAGCAGAGCACTAGGCATGCAGTAATTAATTAAGGTATACTGCAGTAACTATGGTATACTGCAGTAACTACGGTATACTGCAGAGAATGGAGATGGCTCCAGGGCATCTCCCTGTAAAGTTCTACAGAATTCGATGACCCACAAACCATTACCCACCCCCCTCCACTCACCACCTCTTTCACAGTCTCAGCCAGGGCCTCATCCTCTGGAGAAAAGTGCTTGAGCTCCATTGTCTGCTGGATGGCCTCTGTGACCAGCTTGCTATGCCTCAGGATTATTTCCAACACAGTGCTCTCTGGGGCAGTCACTGAAAAAGAGGGAGACTTGAACACTCAGCCAAACCATAGGCATCATTTTCTCCTTCACCTCTCAATTCCACTCTTCACAAAGACAATACATGTCATTTCTAAGAGTGAGATCAGTTAACCACTGTAACCAGGGCATAATGAATAAGGGTTTGTCAGCGCCCATATCCCCAGACACAATTTCCTTTAACACATAAGCCCTTTGTCTGCTTTTACCACCTGATGTTTCTGTGTGTGGATGTTGTGCCATGTTTGAACCAGAATTCACTACCTAGCTTCTCAAATGCCACTTTTCTGAACACATTGAAAATCCTTTCTTCTTGCTTTCCTCAAACACAGCACCTTGGTCAACTATGGTCACCCTGCTATGTAGGAGAACATGGGAATTTACCTGCCATTGCTCCTGAGGGGAGGGACACAGATGGCAACCGTAAGAGAGTCCTCTTATTTCCTGGGGGTCGACAGTTATCTCTACAAGGGCAACATCAAGGCAGAGGGCAGACAACTCACCGGCCCGGAAGAAAGCCCCAGCGCCAGGCTCCTTTCCTACTTCCTCCAAGAGAAGGTTCAGTGGGCAGGACTGGGTCTCTTGAGCCACTAGCAGCAGCTGCCAAATGGCTGTTGCAGAGAGAGTCTGCCTTTCCAGAGCTGCTGACATCAGGGAACTGAAGCCACCTGAGCCAGAGTCCTGTTTCACGAGTGTCTCCATAACCTTCAAGATGCAACATAAACATGGGTGTGAGACTCTGGTCCTGAGCTGGTGGCAAAACAGTTAAGTATCAGTACTGGGTTTAGGTGAATGTGTTCTGGGAGGGGAGGTCTTTTCAACATTCACCTCCTCAACCTCGGAGGCTTTTTACAATCAAATTTACTTTGTGTGTAAGCAGGTGGAGTAGAGTCAGGGACACAGCCTGGTAATAGAAAGCTTATTTAACACACATGATGCTCTAGGTGTGGCTTCTAATATACACACACAAAATAATCTTAGCTGAAAGCATCTCTCTCTCTCTCTGGTTTGGTTTTTAGGCAGGATTTTACTGTGCACGCCAGGCTGGCCTTGAACTCAGAACGCTCTACTCCTTGGCAATGGGATTATAGGCACGTACAACCAAAGCTGGCTACTGACAGTTCTAATTTGTGACAAAGTTCTTTGTTCTTTCTCGTGAAGGCTTTTCTTTATTACTACAGAACTATGCAGTGTAAAATATCGAAATACAACTAGTTAGGCCAATGAGATGACTGAGGGAGTACTGGCACTGGCCACCAAGTCTAATGACCTCAGTTTGATCCCTAGAACTCACCTGACAGGAGGGAACTGACTCCTGCAAGTTGTCCAGTCTACAAACTAAATAAATAAAACTGCAAAAAAGGAAACTGCGATTATTCTATTTGGCATTTACCCTTAGAAAATGAGTCACCTTCTAGTCTCCTTCTTGGCATTTCTCAACTTGGCGGTGTATATGTATTTATAGAAAATGTAAATGTGTGTGTATACATAGCCATACTTCCCTCCCTCCTGCTCACCTCTCTGTCTCCAGGGGCTAAGCTCCTCGCACGCGAGATCACCTTTAGCAGCACCTGGTTGTCCGTGAGAACCTCAGACAGGTTTTCATGATACTTTCTCAACAGCTCAGCTCCGTAGTCCTCAGGGCTAGGGTGGGCTGGAAGGGCAGCAGCACAATAAGACCTGAGGCACCACAAGGGTCAAGGGCTTCTACAGACCAAGTGAGGGGACAGCTGAGAGCTATTTCTGCCTCAGAGTAGAGTCTCGTGACTAACCCCGGGCCACACACACAGCATCTGAGTCTCCTCTGGTCGACACCTGTGCTCCAGGGTCACTGAAACAGATGAGTGCCTGGTAGAAGCCAGGGACTGCCCAGCAGGCGGGTAATGAGAAGGCTGCACTTGTGAGAGGCTCTGATGTACAGATCAGGGGGTCTTCCTCACAATGCCTGGGGTAAAGGACCCATGTAGTGATCCCAGATACCATCAGCCACCAGTCCAGGCCGTGCCCAGGAAGAGGCATGCCGCTCTGTTCAGATGCCCCCTGTGCCCATCTGTTAGCTACTTAAGTCATATTTCCTTAAAGGTAAAGAAAATACAAGCAATCTGCACAAAACTAAATCCCTTGGTTTATAAATAGTTATGTTTTTATCTTCTCTTTGACCCAGTAAATCCACTTTTTGAAACTAAGTCTAAAAAAAACAACCCACCCGAAGGCCAAGAGCCATTGCCACTGCAGCGCCACGTGATGACACCGTGAGGACAGTCCTAATATCTGCTGAGCCTCCCATGTGCCAGGCACGTCACTAAATGTTCAATGGATGTCATTTCACAACAGCCACAGAAATGAATGTGATGATGGTACAACTCTTACACCCATCTCAGGGACAATAAGGTTCATAAAGTGAAGCTGCAAGCTTAAGGTCAAACAGCCAGGAATGGCACCATGGCTTCCAGGCTTCCCATTACACCGCATCTGCCCAAATCAAGACACATGTAATATACAATGCATATCTGTATGATAGAAAACTATGCAACACTTCAAAAAAGATAGGAGTTTTTAGAAATGCAAGAGAATGTTTTGATATTGTTAACCAGGGGCAATCATACAACTAAAAAAATAAGGTAATCTATGAACATGAGCACACATCTCAGCGCCAACAGTGAAGGACTGCGGGAGTAGAACAACAGCTTATTCATTTTGGGGAACCATCCTGCTTTGTGTGTGTAATATAATTATTACACAATTACATAGGCAAAGTAATTCCAGTTGGGTTAAGAAGGGAAAACAGGCTCCCTCCCCCAAGCTGAGGGACACCAAGGGGGCTACCTAGGGACTGTAGAACACAGCTGGGAAGGGGGCAATCAGGATTTGAATTTGCCACTCACATCCATCCACACAGTCTGTTGGAATGCACAGTCTTCTGGGCCCCTCTGTCTGTTCAGTCTCACAGGTGACCCTGGCCAGCCCTGTGGGAAGAGCATCCATTAATAAGCCTGAACCATAGAGATGATAGGAGGGAGCTTAATGTAGAGGAGTCTCAGATCCCAGCTGATCTGACAGAGAGCTCGCTTCACAGAGCTCCTCTTCCCAGCATGGAGCCAGAAGGGAGCTTTACCCTGTGATTTTCTGTACAAGCTGCTCCTGTCCAGAGACAGAATAATTAACTAGTACCTGTGGTGCCAGGTGACTCCGCTACTTTCTGTAAATTCTCCAGCAGGAGGCCCAGGTTTGGGAATGCTGTTCTCACAGCCTGGAGGAGTTTTACCAGGCTCTCGGCAGGCAGGGTCTTCTCTTCAGTCATTCTGTGCAACAAATTCTCTATCGTCTCCTTGGGTGTTCTGCCCTCACAGCAGTTCAGAATCACCTGCAGGGGCGTGCAATCAAGCAGACACCATTACTGCAATTCAAAATGGATCTAACACTGAAAGAAAGCCAGCAAGAGAGCCTCACCGGATGCCCATCTCCAAGCCCTCCACAGCTGGTCTCTAGCACTACTTTTTGTCACAGTCCCTTCCCTTTTCTGTTTGTTTGTTTGTTTGTTAGCCTTTGCCTCCAACAGCTTGCACCGTTTGAAAACCCTTTTCAGAAACAGGACTGGCCTGGTACTTGTTGTATAGCCCAATCTGGCCTTGAACTCACGGCAATCCTTCTGCTTCAGTCTCTCAAGTGCTAGGGGTACAGGTGTGCACAAGCACAGCCAACCAAAAGCCCTTCACGCCTGGCTGGTGTAATACAGGAAGTAGTGAACATCTGACCTGTCCGCCTGAGACACAGGCCGGCGTTTCACGCTGTTAGAATACTTTTCTATCTGTTCCATATTCAGTTCTGTTTATTTACTTCTACTTTATTTGAATACTGAAAACTTTATAGTCTCTGGTTGCAAAACAATAAAGTGTTCTTTCAGATTATTTTTCTTGTAAAATCTTTTGTTTGTAGAGTCCAGGTCTTAATATGGCTGCCCTGGCTGTCCTGGTACTCACTCTGCAGCACAGTTTGGCTTCAAACTCAGGGAAATCCTACTTTATTTAGCCTCTTGAATTGAGGTTACAGTGTGTGTCCCTAGGCTTTGTGGGTTTGCTTTTTGTTAATGTTTTTTATATGTGAATTCTTCCCTGTGTATATACACACCTGCACTATGCTCTCTCTCTCTCTCTCTCTCTCTCTCTCTCTCTCTTACACACACACACACACACACTCCTATGCTTTGCATATGCAAAGGCCAGAGGAAGATACTGGGTGTCCTGTTCTGTCAACTTCTACCTTGTTCCCTTGAGACAGGTTTTTTACTGAACCCAGACCTTGGCCTGCCAGTTCCAGTGATCCTCTGCCCCAGCTCCAGCACTGGGGCTACAGGCACACAGGGTGATTCTGCAGGATCCACACTCAGGTCCTCACGCTCACGCAGCTGTCTTACCCACCAGCCCATCTCCCCAGCCTCTGAATGGCCGCATGGTTCAGCTCCACTCACAACTCAACAGTCCCACTTCCCTTGATCTTTCTTGGTTTGTCAAGATTTTCTGAGCAAAAGGTCATGGGGCTCTAGAAAATATGTTCAACAATTAAACATGTGACAGACACTTTTCTATTGCCGCATAACTATTTTTTTTTTTTTGAGACAGGGTTTCTCTGTGTAACAATCCTGGCTGTCCTAGAACTTGTAGACCAGACTGGCCTTAAACTCACAGAGATCTGCTTGCCTCTGCCTCCCGAGTGCTGGATTAAAGGTGTGCACCACCACCCTCTGGCATAGAACCATTTCTTAATGGACCACGGTGCAAAATGTGTAGCATGGTTCTTACAGAACCAAGAGAGCAGATTATTTCAGTATATTTGGTCCATGGATCCACAGCAACTGAACTGTAAGCCTTCCTCTGGGAAATGCCTGCTCTCGGGAGACAGTCAAGCAATCAGTCACAGAAGCATGCCAGCAGCTGCCATTATCAAATTAGCTCTGTTATAAAATAACGAATTGAGCTTTAAAGCCAAATTGGCTTTCTACATATGAAAGGAATGTGTGTAAAATAATCAAGTTGTCATATTCCTTGTTAGTCATCTTTCTTTGGATAAGGTCTAATATACGGTGGATAGTGACTAAGTGAATCATAATTTAAAATTTAAGACCGTGTATTTAAAACCTGAAGTGACTTCAGCACCAACCCTTCACTCTTAACGAAGCAGCTCAGGGATGGCTCTTAAGGCCAGACTGACGCAGTTTGTACCCCAGTTCTAGCTATTCATGCTGTGTGACTTCGGGCAAGTTCCATGATTCTTGAAAAGGTGTTTTCCTCACTTGCAAATAAAGATAACCGCAGCAACTCCTGCGGATGTCCAACTTCTGAGGATCCTGAGATGAGGCTGCAGCTTACAAAGCCTGTCGTGACTGCTAAGGACACACATGCTCCTTTAGAAGCATGCTACCATTGGCCACAAGCCATCTGCATAGTAGTGAGGAAGCTCTCAATGTGCTTGAGTCCAGCCCCAGCCAAGCCCCAGCCTCCCCAAACTCCCACTTCTTATGGGGATGGTCCCTGTCCATAAGGTTACAGAACTGCTGGGAAGAAAAGGTCAGGAGCAACACAAGTCTTCAGGATATGGCTTAGCAGGCCAGAAGCAGCAAGCAAAGGACAACTTGTAACTGCTATGTTTATGCCGTGAAGTAAGAAGTCCTTTCTCATTTTTTACAGAAAGAACTCAAGACTTTTACAGATAAAGCACAGAAAGCATAATTTCATAATAGAAGTTCTGAAAGGCCTGGTGCGGGGCTGGGCTGCGGATCCTCTAGCCGCTGCGCTAGGCTGTGACCTAACCTGAGAAGTGCTGCTGTGATTTGCAACTCATTTAAGTTCTGCTCCAGCCTTTTTTTGTCAAGTAAACTGAAAGTGACAGAAGAAAATGACAGTGTGGTCTATCCTGCAGCAGAGCTTAGGGCTGGGGCTGTTCTACCTCTAAGTGCTGTTTTACAAGATAATGGAACAGCTCCAAGTCCACTTGCAGCCCAGCTCATCACGAAAGCGCTGGGAGGAATAATCGAATGAAATCTCTCAGCAGGGAATCAGAGGCTTCACTGAAACTGAGTGCCCAAGATTACACCTAATCTGAAACCTCAGGAGAAAAACACGAGTTCATTCCCCGCCATATTAGCATTATCTATGAATTTAACAGAACTTTAAAACATCAATTTCCAAAACACACTTCTGAGATTAGAGGCTTCCCCCAACTGTCTCTCTGCCTGGATATTTAACCTAAGATGACTCAGGCAGAGGGAATCTAGGACCCAGCCCACTATGAACCCAGTGCTATCACACCAATGGTTCAGAAACCATCTCTCCTGGGCATCTAAGTCACTCTCCCAGTTTTAAGTAATGCCACGAAAGTTCTCTCTCCCCACCCTTCCTTCTAGACAGACATATTTTTAGCACAAAGTTGAAATCGATAACCCCAACAAAAACAGTTATCTAGTTGCCCTAAGAAGTCATGCCAGCAGTTTTATGAGGTTTTAGCAGCTAGCTGTTGGGAAAATAAACTGGCGTGTGACCTTCCTGAAGGGCAATTTGAGAATGTCCACGAAGACTTTTACATTCTATTTTAAAATTTCATTTAAAAATTACCCTAAGGAAATAATATTGAGAAGTCTGCAGAGCTTAGCCTACAAGGATGGCCTCTACAACATCATTTATTATACCAAAGTCTTGGCAACAAATGCCCAAGAAGAGTGAATGAGTCATGGGATGTCCATTAGAGTACAACAGTGCCCCACAATCCCTTAGTGTAGATAGAGATGTGTGGTAGCAGAGAAAAGCTGTGAGTTTGTGTTGCCTCATCCCAGGACTCCAAAGAGACAAAGAGAAACACATGCTGCTGTGGCAGGATCCACTTGATTTTTTAAATATTTATTTTTGCCTGCTTTCTTCTGTATCTACATATTAACCATGTATCATTTCTGTAAATAAGAAAAGCATTATAATTACAAATGTGCCACAACATTCAGCTCCGGCTACAGTAGCTTCCGGTAGTCAGAGTCCCAGCAGCAGCAGTGTCATCTACCCATCCACCTGCCCAGTGGCCATGTGCTGCAAAGTGCACGGTAGAAGCTATGGCAAGAAACGTTATGGAGCATGCGACAGGAACCTCCAATCAGCCAAGGTGATTACAATACAGAAAGTATCAAAACATCACAAGGCAAAAAGCACCTGGTGCAGCAAAGCACTAGAACAAGCTCTGCAGCAGTTCAGAGAGGGCAGAGGCTCGACACAGTTACCCTTTTCTCGGAGACAGGCAGGAATTCCTCCTTGGCTGTTTCCAGGAACTCCACAATAGGTCTGAGCTGTGTTACACACTGGATCAGGTCCTCTTTGTGTTCCAGTAACAGAACAGACAAGGTCTTTCCCTCCCCTGTGCTCCCTGGGGGAGAAGGAATTAGAGACACACAAGAGAAGCTAGTCAATTTGAAGAAAATGACAGCGTGGTCTGTCGAGAGAGATCTAACGGAATAGTAAAGAGCTTCGGTGCACCTGAATGCAGAATCACTTTTGGAGAGAAAAATACTTTATTATTCTGTTTAAACTCTATGAAAGGAAAAATGTTTCATTTATCTGTCGAAATACAAAGCTTCAGAGCCAGCCAGAGGTTAACTTCTGGTAGGCAAGGCCACTGCTTTGTACCTAACCCAAATGAGAGCAACTTCAGCCTTTAAGTGCTGGCAGCGAACCAGTCACTTGAGGCGCTGCTTTGGACATTGGGCTTTTTAAAAGGCTTGAGGACAGTGACAGTAGCCTTCGTTTGCTGAGGAACTAGCCTAGATAAGTAGGGCTGAAATGGAGACTCACATGGAGCCTGTGCACATTTAACATGTAGCTTTAGGGATGGCACAAGAACCTACATGGAAGTCACCAACAACACACATCACTGGCTGGAACTGTAAACGCTGGGTCACCCAGGTGGCCAGAATGCCCTCCTACCTTCTGGCTGAGACTGAGACACCTTCTCTGCAGGTGTGGACTCCTGGTACAGTCTCATCAGAGACAAGACCACCTGCACATCCAGGCTCCCATCATGCACTTTGCCCAGGATTCTCTGGAACGCTGAGCCTCCTCCGTCATCCTTGAGACATTCTATTATGATCTGTGAACCAAGTGCCCAGAGAGAAAGAGATTAATTACCCACAAAAACTCTGTCTGTAACATGAGGGCTCTGACAACTTGACCCTCACATCTCTCATCAGTCCTTCTCCCATTGCACCAGCTTGTGGGTGCAGCAACCCAACCAGCTCAGGCTCCAGGGCACCCACTCCCACCCTCTGCCTTCCTTAGGCTCCCCACAGGCTCACTTCCTCTCTGCTGGTCCTCCTCTGTGTGGACACATATACTGTAACTGTTTACTGCTTTCTCCTCAGAGACTTTTGGAAGACAGCAATCATACTCCCCGGACTCTACAGCCTTAGTGAAAAGTACAGCCTGCCACATAGTAGGTGTGCAGTATATTTTTAACAAATGTAACACACTTTTTGCCTAATTATACCTTTCTGAATCTTATGACACTGGATATTTCTCAGGCAAAGATATCTGAATTTCAAATTGAACGAACTGTCATTTTACTATTTGAGAATGCAATTAAAATCTTGTGAGTTAGGAAAAAAGAACACTTTAAGTCATTTACATTCTGAATGATAGACTATTTAGAAAGACACGGGCCTTATTACTTTTAGATATATTCTGTAATAAGGCTAACAATGTGTTGGCTTATAGGTGCCAGCTGTCAGAGAACGTGATTCACATATCAATTACCCCATGGTAATGGCTGCATCTACTCTAGAAACGAAAAGTGTCAAAAGTTTCTTCTGGAGCTCACACACAGCCTGCCTTGCCTCTCGCCTCATGCTGCCTGACCTTACAATAGCATTTGGCACCACTCTACCTTGGCATCATAATTTCCTGACATCGGTGACCCTGAAGTACTATGGTTAAAAACCCATCTTTGTAGCCAGCCCCTTTCAGCTTTCTCCCAAATCCGTAACCATAGCAGGATCTAAAACTGGTCTAAAACATTGTTTTGAAGAGACAAGAAACTGTTCCACAGCTCGGCTGGCCCCAGCCTCCTGTCAACCCTTATTTCTTTCCTGGACAATCCTGCAAAGAGGCTCCGATCTCCAGCCCTCTTCTGAGCAGAGCCACACAGCTCTGTGAGATCTGCCTTAGACTCCAGGTCTCAGGGCACAACCTGGACTATCTCAGATCACAGTAAAATATTAGCAACCCCAGTGGGAAGATAAACAAAATGAACATGGCTTTCTTTGATCTGATAGACCATCTCTTACGTGAATGGGAGGAAGACCAATGGGAAGGTAGAATTAATATTTCTCTTTTAGCAAAAGTTTATTTTGAAAAAACATGAGGTCACCAAAACATAATTCCTTCATACAGTTGCATATATGCTTCTTATAGTAACTGTTAAAGGAGTTTCTTGTGGTTTTGGTCATCTCTAAAAGTAAACTAGGACAAAACCTAGTTTAATAATCTATACTTTTGGCTAAGAGCACTTGCCGCTCTCGCAGAGGACCAGAATTCAGGCTCCAGTACCCATAAAGGGAAGTTCACAACCACTGTAACTCCAGTTCTAGGGGATCTGATGCTCCTTCTCTTCTAGCTTCGGCAGGCATCTGAATAATACTGCATGTGTGCAAGTGCACACACATTTTTAAAAATCTACATAAAGATTTTATAAATAATTTCCATTAACCTTAGGCAAATATCATCTACTTTAAAAACAATGAACAAGAAATAAAGACATCAGGTGAATGCTTAAATCCCCTTTGACCAAATTAATTCACCTTCTCATGCTTTTTGTAGTTGGTCTACCATCTCTTTAGAATACCCTTCACTGACAGTAGTAGGGATCCTGGGGTCAACATGCAAAACAGCTCCCCAGACTTCTGCCTCTAGGTAGCTACACCCTTGGTCTGAATCTCATGACTTATTCAAGAAGAGACTATGGCATAAGCAATGAGATAAGCCTCTGGGAGTCAGGTTACTATGCTTTTCTGTCTGGTGTTGGGGACTGTGGACTCTCAGACCCTGAATTTTCTATGACCCTTTGCCTGCAGTTGCACTGAGCATGAGACTCTGGTGGCAGGGGAGTGGTTTCTGGTGGCTTGCAGCTGAAGGATCCCGAGAGCTAAGGTGTAGCCATTGGTCAGGAAAGGCACTATATAAGCTGCCCTGGAACACAATAAAGTTGGCATTCTTGATTCAAGGATGACCCATGTCTGTCTGTCTGTCTGTTTCTCTCTCTCTCTCTCTCTCTCTCTCTCTCTCTCTCTCTGTGTGTGTGTGTGTGTGTGTGTGTGTGTGTGTGTGTGCTTCAATCTCCAGCCCCTTGCCTGGCTTGCGAAACATTTTGTAGTGCAGACTGTATGCTACAGGCGTAGTACATGTAGTACAGGCGCTAAAGGACCATAGTGCACATAGTAGTATGGAAGCTACAGTCTGACCCATAAGCACATGTATGCAGGTAAGTGACAGTATAAGCATGGGCCTGCTCTGCTCACCTGCTGTCTCTCTCTGCCTTGCTCTGGGAGATGCAAGCCACCATGTTTCAACTGCCCTAGGAGAGATCTCTGGGAAGAAGGGATGGGTCCAATTGCAGCAGTGTTGTATGAAAGCACACCTCTGAAACCCACTAAGGTCCTGGGGAGCAGAGCCTAGAGACAGCAGTAGCTGGTTGACACTTCAGCTGCAGTCGTGTGCGACTCAAATCAGGGACCAGTCAGGTTCCACCTGAACTCCTGACCCGCAGAATCTGAGAATAAGGACTCGCTGTTTCCAGGCTGCTGAACGTTACAGTGATGCCTCACACAGAAGAGGTGGCCCACAGTCACTCTTCACTCCTAACACCCTCGGCAAACACACTGCTTCCTCCGTTTTCCTTTTCCTCCCTCCCTGTCTCACCGATACCACACAGTCCCCTTATTCTAGCCCGGGCCAGGCTGCTCCCTTTGTTCAGCTATGGCTCTCTGAATAGTCCGCACCCTCTCTGGGTATCCACTGTGTCTGGCATTATCATCTGAGCTGAGGGGAATGGAGCTTCCTCCGGCAGAGGCTTCTGAAGTGCTCTCATCTGCTGTCTCCCTCTGCAGAACTACTCAGCGGTGAAATTAAAACATTTGTTAACTTCATTGCTCGGCAGTGGTGCTGGGTGACCACCTGGGAGGAGAAGCAGGGAACTGTCAGCTGCCTGGGCAGCCCTGCTCTTCACCCCAGCACTGACTAGGCATTCACATCAGAGCTGGCACTCCAGGCTTGCAGGCATTCTGTACTGCAACAGCAGCTCTGCCCAGACAGGAGTGCCAAGAGGGTGCCATATATTGCTCAGGGCTGTCACCATGTAACAGAACTCTAAGATCCTAAGTAAAATATAGCCTTGTCACTAAGGCCAAGATCTTTAACCAAACACTACTACTTCTTTGACTCATAAGGGGTTAAAGGATTTCAGTAAACTCATGTCAACACATGTTCATACAAGTAGTAAAATAAAATTACTGAGTAAAATATAGGAAGACATATTTCAAAATGAGGCAGTTAGTTCTCCTTCTACAACACAGAAAAAGCATCTAATCTGTCCCTTCACCCAAGCCTTTTTGTTGCTCAACTGTTTCTCCCTAGGACCTTCACATTTGTGTGGGTGACAGTCTTGTGTGCTCAGACCCTCCCATCCATGATGAGGGTCAGGGACAGCAATAATGATAAAGATGAGGCTGGGATATAGCTCTGGGGGAGTGTGCCTGTTTAGTATACATCAAGCCCTGCTCAATTGCTAACACCAAAATAAATAAAAATAAACTGCGATACAGACCATAAATAATAGTTCCATATCATCCTGGACTGAGTGTAGACTTGCTGTCTACTTTACTCCTCACACTATCCCAGGAGGCTTTCCTTCTGCTATCTAGATAAGCACTGGAGAGGCTAAGGAACTTACCCAAGATCACAGGGCAGCAAGCAGAGTAGTCTGAATAAAACGCTGGATATATTAAATCTATCTGCACTGGATGCTACCAGACCTACCAAAGCTAGTCACTGAACACTGAGTAGGACACAAGCAATATGCACACTATTCTTCTTAGTCTGTGTGATTACCACAGAGACCAGTACAGAGTGCTCACACAAAGTGTGAGCCTTTCCCTACAACTACAAGCCTGTCTAGCTGTGTGATCCAGATGTGATGTCCAGAGGAGATCTGGAAAACACCAGCTGACTTGTAGACCTGTGAAATGATTGCCAGTTATTTGCTCTGAGAAGGTTAGCCCAGCCAGTGAGCACTGTCCTTATGACAAAAAGTTGCACCGTGCCACAAGGCAAAGCACCACTGAGAACATCGGATTCACAGAGGAGGAAACTAGCTCGCTTTTGAAATGCAGCTGAAAGAGAATGAACACTACCTGGTCTTCAGCTCTGGGAATCTTTCTAACACCAAATTTGAAAGTGAAATAAGATAGCCGAGAAATCAATAGTGGAGAAGTTAGCTTCTTATTCCTGACAAAGATCGCTTTGCTATACACACAATTAACTAAAAGCAGGGACATGGCTAGGAATAGAGGAAGAAGACAATTAAAAGTTAGAGCACAAGCTGAAAGAAAATATGGGCTGGCTTGAAACAGGTTTCACTCAGCCAGAAAGCCACCATTCTTTAACGACAGTGGCAGTTAGACTGTGTACAGTTTGGTAGGAAATGCTCCCACACCCCAGCCACACTGCTCTGATCAGTTCTGGCTGTGGAGCTTCCCTGGGTTCCAGCACCCAGCCTCTTATATTTCAGTAATGTAGGGAATGGTTTTGCCACCTTTCATCAGGTAGCTTGGGAGATAAGCCTATCAGTCAGGACACCAGGAGCCCAAGCTCTCCCTGAACTCAGTCCATGCCATCCGTATGCCTTAGATCTGTGTGTTTCAACCAGAACCTGATGCCACTCACTAGTGGCAGAAGGCCTCAAATGGCACACACAGTGGGAATATTTTTAATGGTGTCAAGTTATATCATGATGATTAGCCCAATAACAAAAACAATAAAACATTCAAAACTTCTTGGGAACTAAAAATTTAAGAACAGGAAAAACAGCAAAGCCAATGA